GGTTGGCAGACTGAGATAGAACTGAAGAAAGTAATTCCATTTACCATAGCCATGAAAGGTATAAGATACCTAGGAATAAATCTAACCAAAGAAGTCAAAGACCTCCATGAGGAAAACTATGAGAAGCTAAGAGAGGAAATTGAAAACGACACAAAAAAGTGGAAAGACATTCAATGTTCCTGGACTGGAAGAATTAATATAATCAAAATGGCAATTCTACCCAAATTAATCTACATATTTACCACAATCCCAATCAAATTACCAGAGACATTTTTCACAGATCTAGAAAAGACAACCATAGATTTGTCTAGAATCATAAAAGATCTCATATTGCCAAAGCAATCCTGCACAAGAAGAGTAGCGTGGGCGGCATCTCACTCCCTGACCCCCAAATATACTACAAAGCTGTGATAATCAAAACAACATGGTATTGGCACAAAAACAGACAGGTGGACCAATAGAACAGAATAGAGACCCCAGTAATAAATCGCAAAACATAGTCAACTGCTCTCCCTCTGGCTGCCATCTTGCGTCCCCGCATATGTGCGCCTAATCTCAGCTGGTCTGCCTAAGACCTTCTGTGCGCCAACCCTAGTCCCCCACATGGACCCTTTTCCATTCCAACAAGATGAAAGAAACTATCATGAACCAGGAAAAACTAGCCAAACCACAGACACAAGTACGCATTGTTGGGAAAGGAACTGCTCACAGAAAGAAGGCAGTTCATAGAGCAGCCACAACAGATGATAAAAAAACTTCAGTTCTCCTTATAGAAGTTAGGGGTAAACAATATCTCTGGTATTGAAGAGGTGAATATGTTTACAAACCAGGGAACAGTGATCCACTTTAACAACCATAAAGTGCAGGCATCTCTGGCAGCGAATACTTTCACCATTACAGGTTGTGCTGAGACAAAGCAGCTGACAGAAATGCTACCCAGCCTGGGGCCCACAGTCTGACTAGTTTAAGGAGTTTAAGGAGACTGGCTGAAGCTCTGCCCAAACAATCTGTGGATGGAAAAGTACCACTTGCTGCTGGAGAGGAAGAGGACGAGGAAGTTCCAGATCTTGTGGAGAATTTTGATGAGGCTTCCAAGAATGAGGCAAACTGAACTGAATCAACTTCTCGAAAGGGATAAAACTTGACGAAGTTACTGGGAGCTGCTATTTTATATTATGACTGGTTTGTAAAATTCTGTTTTGTTTATGGATCTGATAAAATCTATATCTCTAATATTTTTAAGCCTAAGCCCCTTGGACACTGCAGCTCTTTTCAGTTTTTGCTTATATGCAGTTCATTCTTTGAAGCTAATTAAGTTGAAGAAGCCAAGGAACAAAGTTTGGAACAAAGGTTAATAAAGTTTTTCGCCTAGCTAAAGAAACAAAAAACAACAACAACAAAAATACTGTCAAGTGATTTTTGACAAAGAGTGCCAGTCAGTCCAGTTGGAAAAGGAAAACCTTTTTAGCAATTGGTGCTAGAAAAACAGGGTATCCACCTGCAGAAAGATGAATCTGAACCTCTAGCTCTCACCACTTACAAAAATCAACCCAAAGTGGATCGAAGATCTAAATCTAAAACCTCAAACTATAAAACTACTGCTGGAAAATACTGGGGAAACTGGAAGACACTGAGGAGACCTCAGACTGTAAAACTGCTATTGGAAAATACTGGGGAAACTGGAAGACACTGAGGTAGGCAGACTTCTTAAATAAGATGCACAGTCAATAATCCCAAAAATAGACAAATGGAATTACATCAGATTAAGAAGTTTCTGCATGGCAAAAGATGCAGTAACTGGTATGAATCGAAAGCCTCAGAATGGGGGAATATTTTTGTAAACTATGCTTCAGATAAAGGAGTGATAACCAGAACACACAGGGAACTCAAATGGCTTACCCAGAAAAAAATGATCAACCCAACTGAAACATGGGAAAATAAGCTGAATAAACTCTCAAAGGAAGACAAATGAACAGCTGAAATGCATATAAAAAAATGCTCAACATCTCTCATCCTAAGGGAGATGCAGATCAAACCACTATGAGATACAACCTAACCTCTGTCAGAATGACTGAAGTTAAAAAAAAAAATGCTATGTGCTGGTGTGAATGTAGTGAAAGGGGAACTATTCTACACTGCTGGTGGGAATGTAAATTGGTCCAGCCACTGTGGATAACAATATGAAGATTCATCAAAGATCTACAAATAGAATTACCATACGATCCAGCAGTCCACTCCTGGACATCTACCCAAAAGATAGGAGAACGCTTACTTAGAAGTGTTTGCACATTTTTGTTTATTGCAGCTTTATTCACAATTGCTAAGACATGGAAACAACCCAAGTGTTCATGAACAGAAAAATAGACTGAAAAAGTGTGGCACATATACTCCATGGACTACTACTCAGAGATAAAAAACAGTAAGACCCTGGCTTTCAATAGAAGGTGAATGAAGATAGAAGATTTACTGCTGAGTGAAGCAAGCCAGGCTAAGAAGGAGAGTCAATGTATATCTCCACTTAATATATAACTATCCACACTCTATGGCTGAAACTGAAAGACTAGAGGATATAGAAATATAGAAAATGGTCATAGATATGGGAGGGTGAGAGAAGGAGGAGAGTATGAGGAAACACATTAAGGAGAAAAATAGGGAAGACATTTATGGGACAAAAAAATGGGTTATTATCTGTTGATGATAACGTATATAAAATCCCCAACTGGACTGGTGAGGAATGTATTCATGTTAGAACATGCACTTTACAAGCTAAGTCATATACGTGATTGAATGTATTAAAAAATTAAATTAAAATAAAATATATATTAAAATACATATGTACCTTAATTCCATTTTTCCACAAACTCTCTGAAGTCCTTTCATATTTGTTAAATGAATTAAATTTAAGAATCAGTGGGACTACCAGATGGCATAATGGTTATGTTGCTGGACTCCCATATAGTCAACTGCAGTTCGAGTCCTGAACCCAGTGGCTTAAAACTCATGCTGGGCGTGTCTGCATGCATGCCCAAAATTCTGAGAGGAGAATGGAGAAGGACTGCTATGTGGCCATCTCCCTTTGGTGGTGATTTCTCACTTTCTGTCTCTCCCTGTCTGTCTCTGTCTTTCCAGCAAGCACACACACCTTGTAGCAAAAATCTCTTTAAAAAAAATTTAAGAATTAGCATATTTAAATTCTACAGAAAAAGATAACCATTTGTTAAGACTTTATATTAAATATAAGTGCACCTACATTTAAGCATTGGATTAAAAGAGGACCTAATGTAAAATCCAAGCTGGTTAGTCACTAATAAATTTAATTCATATAGATTAACTGCCATGTAACAAATTAATATTTAACCCAGCACAAACATTATAATGTTTTCTCTACTATGGAAAAATCACAAAATATTGGGTTGTTGGAAAAGTAATAATACATTTTTGTATAGAAAAACACAGAAAAATATTTCATGACTTTCCCATTGACATAATACATAGCAGAAATTTATTGAGAAGTAGGATGCCATTAACTTATATTATCAAAGAACAAAATAAGTCAAAAGTCCTTCACAGGGGGCTGGACCCACAGCTCAGCAGTTAAGAGAGCTACATCCAAAATGGCCGAATACAGTTCAAATTCTGGCCCTGGTGGCTTGAAAACCACACCAGGTATGTGTGTGTATGTGCCCAAAATCCTGACAGGAAGGAGGAGTTGGGGGAAAAGAATTGCAGAACAACTATACCACTCTGGAGGTGGTGGTGTGGGAGTGTGTTTTCTCTCTCTGGTAAATGCATGCACCCTCTGGCAATAAAAAGAGAAATGTAGAAAGTTCTTCACATATATTTTAAAGCATATCTTAGATGTTCTCTTTAATTTAATATAGTCTTGTAACCCATCCAAAATCTTTTCCAGAGCAAGGTCAGAAATTTAAACAACAATTTTTTATTATTACTGTCCCTCAACAAAACAATTCATCCTCTCAACAAATTTGAACTAAGCAATAAAATACTCCTTAGGAAAAGCAGGTCTATCTGTGTGAAAATATATGCTGTGTGTGAAAAGATTACCTTCCAAGTATACTGAACTTCTAGGCATAGGTCAGAATGAAAAGAGGCAGAAGAAAGTTAAATACTGTTTGGAGATTCTCTCTGCCCTTCTGTAACACTGGCAAAAGTGTCCACGTCCAATGAGTGTTTGAAAATGGTATTTAAACAAACTACATTTCTTAATTTTTTTTTAATTATTTATTTCATTTTACTTATTATTATAAATATTATTATTTTAAATTTGGGACAGGGCATGTCTCTCCAGAGAGAAACAGAAAGAAAGATAGAGAAAGCAAGCTGCCAGGTCTGGGACTCAAAACATGTGGGAGTTCAGTGCCTCAACCACCACATCACCTGCTGTCCTCTACAATTCTTAATTCTGAGAAAGGTTTTGTTCTCCAGTAGAATTTACTCTCCATAGAAGAGTTTATTTTTTATATCAGGTTATGTATCTTAAAAAGTAATACCTGTTATAGCATCAAGTCTATAATTATAAACAAGCTTATATTAGTATTTTGTCATTATTTTAGTAAATAATGACATGAAATATCAAGTTTAATCTAATTACTTTAAATATTTACAATTAATATCTTCTATATTTGAGAGTATAAATAAATCTAGAAAGCACCAATTGTGCTCTATTAGATATATTTTAACTTATGAACATAAATTATTATGGTTATTATGGTTATAGTGCAATCATGTAATAACTGTATTTATTTACAAAAGCACGATTTACATGTTATAAACTGAATACACTAAATTAAATAATACTTCTTTTTAAAATGAATAATCTAAGTACCCTGAAACCTAAATAAGCTAGATAAGATATTAACAGTGTGGTCATGATCATTTTCAGTAATTTAAAGATAGATATCTATACAGGATTCAAAAATTAAAAAAATTTTAAGAGACCTTAGAGCAATCAAAGTGATAAAAGGAAAAAAAAACATTACCGGTAAGATTCTAATGGTATGTTGAATTCATTTTCAGGTGAAGCAGTTCCCAATAAAGCGTCTTTTTCATAAACACAGAGTGGGACTGAAAAATGATTTCTAATCTAGGAAAGAAAACAAATAATATTTAGTATCGATAATCTAAAGGTTTAAAAAAATCTGTCAATCTAATTATACTAATAAACTATCAGACAATATTCATCTTGCTCGTACAAATTAGAAAAGAAACAGGCATACAATTATCTATTCTAAAAAATATAAGTTATCACAGTTTTATAAAAGGAGAATCTCAAAAAGCAAACTTTAAACATTATAGAGGAGAATAAAATCACACTTAAGCTTGGAACAGAGACTAATTTGCTTAGAGACAGAGGTTTTCTGTTGTTTTTTAGACAAAAACAGTAGGAAAAACTCATGGTAAAATTATATCAAACTTTCAAATATTTATACAATAAAAGTGAAAAACAAATCACAGGCTGGGAAATATATCTGACATATTTAACAAAGAGATTATAACTAATACACACATACGATCCTAAAAGTCACTAAGTAAGTTGCAATCAAAGGGAAAATGGGAACAGGTATAAACAGGTGATTCATAGAACAGAAAAACTAGATAACCAATAAATAGATGAAAAGATGTTCAATGTTCCTAATAATCAGAAAAGGTCAATTAAAATTACAATATATCTTTTTATAGCAACAGACTGGAGAGAAATCAGAAAACCTGTAATATCAATAGTTGAAAATAATGTGAAAAGGAATGCTCATACACTGCTGGTATTTATCCAGGGAAAAATAACTCTAGAGAACATTGTGACAAATGTGTAATATATGTATTAAATATTAAAAATATTATATATCATTTATATATAGTCTCTGTGTGTGTGTGTGTGTATCCAAAAAGCCAAAAAAGAATTAAAATGGAATCACAACAAAAATGGCCAACCAAAGAAAAGAAAGGAAAATGAAAGCAAAGAACAAATAGCAGAAAAAGAAAAAACATGATAGTAAACCCAATCATATTAATAATAGCATTAAATATAAATGGTTAAATTACCCAACTTTATAAGACAGAGATTTTCAGATTAGATTTAAAAAGTAAACAAGATATGATGCTACAGGAAACCTACTTTATATATACTTTAAGGAGTTAAAAAGTTAAAACAATGGAAAAAGATGTACCACAGTGACACTAAAATAAAGCTACCATAACTATATTAATATCAAAGTGGATTTTAGAGCAAAGACTATTAACACAGATAAAGGTTATTTCATAATGACAAAGGGTTCAATACTGTTAAAAGGATATAAGATTCCTAAACACTTTTGCATCCAATAATATCAAATTACATGAAATAAAAAGTGATAGAAACAAATTCACTATTAATAGTTGGATATGTAACAGTTCACTCTCTTGGCAATGACAGACAGGAAAATGTTAACTACACAGAAGAGTTGAAAAAGACAATGAGCTAACTTGACCTATTTGACATTTATAGAGCACTTCAACCAACAACAGAATGTACACAGAAAACTGACCAAGACAGACTATGAAAAATTGTTTTAAATCATTATATCAGAATTTGTCATAATAGTCCTTGAGAGAAATTTATAATACTAAATACCTACATTAGAAGAGTTCTTAAATCAATGACATCAACTACCACCCGAAGAAGAAGGGCAAATTAAATCCAATTAAGGAGAGGAAGACGAATAGAAAAGATCAAAGTGAAAATCAACAAAAGGGAAAACAATAAAGTCTACAAAACCAAAGTTAATCATTCAAGATTAATAAAATTGATAAAACCATAGCCAAAATAATCAGGAAAAAATGGGAGAAGAAAGAAATTAGCACAATCAGCAATCAGAATGGCATCACTACAAATTTACACATATTAAAAACAAGGGAATATTATTAAAAACCTAAGGTCAACAAATTCATAACTTAATAAAATGTACGCATTTCATGAAAGTCACAAAATTACCAGAGGAGACCATTTAGAAGAAACATAACCTGAGTAGTTCTATATCTATTTTAAAAATTGAAACTAATTAAAAACCTTCCCACAAGAAAGACATTAAAACTCTAGTCCAGGGACCAGCAGATGGCATAGTGGTTAAAGGCTAGACTCCTACATGGCCAACTACAGTTTAAGTCTCAGATGCAGCAGCTTGAAAATTGTGCTAGGAGTGCCTAAAATCCTAGGAAAAGAATAAAGGAAAAGGAATTGCACCATGACCATCTCCTGTGGGGAGTGATTTCTCACTTTCCCTCTACTATCTCTGTTTCTCTCTGGCAAGCACACAAACTCTATGTCAAAAACAAAACAAAACAATTCTAGTCCAATCTTCTTCATGAAAAGAGATGCAAAACCCTATTAAACGTAATCTTAGCTGGGACCAGCACCTGGTGTAATGGCTATGTTGCTGGAGTCCCATGTAGTTGACTGTGGTTCAAGTCCTGGACCCAGTGGTTTAAACACACCGGGTGCATGTGTGTACATGCCCAAGATCCCAAGAGGAGAATGGAAGAGAAGGAATTGCAGAGTGGTCATCCCCCCGGGGGGGGTGATTTCTCGCTTTCTGTCTCTGTCTCAGTCTTTCTGCTGAACTAGGAATGCAAGGCCAATTAAACTTTTTTTTTTTGAGAGATTTTTGCCATAGGGTGCGTGTGCTCACCAGACAGAGAGAGAGAGACAGAGAGACAGAAAGCAAGAAATCACCCCCTAGGGGGCATGGCCATGCCACAATCCCTTCTCCTCCATTCTTCTCTCGGGATCTTGGTCACGCATGCACACGCACCCAGCATGAGTTTTAAGCCACCAGGTCCAGGACGTGAACCGCAGTCAACTACATGGAAGCCCAGCGACATAGCCATTATGCTAACTGCTGGTACCCCAATTAAACATTTTTAAAAATTAATATAATTTATCATATCAACAATGAAAAAAAATATATCCTCTCAATGAACACAGAAAAATCATATGCTAAGAACCAATGTCCATTTCTGATTCCAAAAATTATCAGTAAATTAAGGCTAAAAGGAAATATTTTTAATTTAAGAAAATGAATCTACAAAATAAATGCAATTCAAATCATACTTAATCGTCGATCAGTGAATACTACCCCCCTAAAACAGAGAATGAGGTAAAAGCAATGCTCTCATCACTTCTATTCAAATTGTACCTGGAGTGTTGTAGTCAGTGTAATAGGCAAGAAAAAAATGAAATAAAACATAACAAGATCGGAAAAAAGTAAAAATGTTTTTATTTTCAGACATAAGTGTCTACATCTACTAAATAGTTACTGTTACTAACATGAAAATTTAGTAAGGCTGCACTAAAGTATTTATAAATAATAGTAATGATCAGAAAGTATAATTTTTTAAAAAGTCAATTTTATCATATTTGACAAAAATTAATAACCTGATTCTAAAATTTAAATGAAATTGGGAAAGACCAAGAATAGTCAAAAAAAAAAATTTTTTTTGGAGAGGTTTTCGCTATAGGGTGCGTGTGCTCACCAGACAGAGAGAGACACAGAGACAGAAAGCGAGAAATCACCCCCCAGAGGGGATGGTCACGCCGCAATCCCTTCTCCTCCATTCTCCTCTTGGGATCTTGGGCACGCACGCACACGCGCCTGGCATGAGTTTTAAGCCACCGGGTCCGGGACGCAAAACCGCGGTCGGCTACGTGGAAGTCCAGCGACATAGCCATAATGCTAACTGCTGGTTCCCAAGAATAGTCAAAAATTTTGGAAAAAAAACAAAGTGGGGCAAATCATATAATCTGATTTCAATATTAACAATAAAGTAGTGGGACCAGCAGGTGGCGTAATGGTTACATTGCTGGACTCTCAACGTAGTTGACTGTGGTTTGAGTCCCAGACCTGGGGGCTTAAAATTCATGCCAGGTACATGTGCGTGTGTGCCCAAAATCCTGAAAAGAGAATGGAAGAGAAGGAGTTACAACACGGCCATCCCCCTTGGGGTGTGATTTCTTGCTTTCTGTCTCTCCTCTCTGTCTCTCCAATGAGTGCACTATAGCAAAAAAAAAGTAAAAAAAAAAAAAAAAAAAAAAAAAAAAGGATGTTAACAGGCCACCCTGGTGGCATAGTGGTTAAGGCAGTTGGATCCCACGACTAAACAGTTTAAGTCCTGAACCCGGCAGCTTGAGAAACATGCCAGGCATATCTGTGTGTATGCATGCCCTCATTCTCAAAAGGAAAATGGAAGAGAAGGACTGTGGTGTGACTATCCCTCCCAGGGAGTGCTTTCTAACTTCACTGCTTTCTCTCTCCATTGAGCACATGAGCTTTTTGGCAAAAAGTTAGAAAATAAAATTTAAAAAAAAGTATATTACATTGAGCAGTTCCAGACACCAGGCGGACTGAGGCTGCAGGCCCGACCCACCTGGAAACGCCA